CTTCTGCTAGGGAGCCCTTTGATTTTTAGACCTCTGGCTTAGTGATTATTTCTCCCCAGGTTGCCCTGAAATTAAATTTTTTAACTTTAAACACTGAACGATAATCCTGGCCCAGAAACTCGAAAAACTGGCATCAGTTTCCTTCTGCTACGCAAAGCAAGCCCAGTGCTACTTTCAGCATGTTGTTTGCCAGCATGAGGATTTTATAACCCTCTTAGCTGCTTGATGTTTGGTTTCATTTAGGTCATATTACCTCCTCAAGTTGTTAAATTAACACAGACAGGAATCCAGCTGCGTACTTTCTTTGAAATCCTCATTAGCATGTTACTCTGAACTGTAAGATGGCTGAGGGATTCATTTCTGAGAATACTTCAAGGTTTCTCACAAGCTGCTGCTGCAGATCTATATCTGACTATAGGGATAAATCCTAAAATCTATGCTTGCCAGTAAGGTCAAGGCAGCCAGCGGAGATGTATTGAACCACACTGTCAGAGGCAGACATTTCAGGCCAAACTCATTCCTGGTGCAGCACTGCTAATTCCTTTGAAGTAACACGAGGGATGAATTTAGTCCCTCATGCTGAAAGATATATCAATAGGAAGCAATTTAGATTGGGCCACTTAAAGTGCATGTAATACAGAAAAGAGAGAGACTGCGGAGTAATGCTTTAAGGGTTCACAGAGGTTGTCTTGTATACGCTAGTGAGGTTGTAGCACTGCTGTCCCAAGGGAAAGTTGGGGAATGGGAAATTGCCTTTTATAGCTGAGCCTCAGGTTAACAGGGGAGAGGAAAATAGTTTTAGGATTGCTGTGTGACTTGGCCGTGTTACAGCCTGCCTCTCCAAGTTACACTTAGTCGCACCTTCTTCCCCAATTATCCGGAAACATACCCTTCACTCACTTTCTCTTTTTCACACAGTGCAACAAATAACGACATTGTCTGAGTTCTGACATTGGGGAAGGGAAAGAGGGAGGGACAGAGAAATTGTTGTAAATTCAGAAATTGTTGAAATTCAGTTGTAAAACTTTGTTGCTTTGTTCTCTGAAAACTTGAGAATCGGATGGGGTGTACACAAGATAACTTCTCGTTGAGAAGTCATTCGACTCAGTAGGCCCTGGTACCCTTCTGTGGGCTCATAGCAGGGAAACTGCATCATCCTCTGTAGCTGTTAATGATCCTTGCTAAATATTTTTGGAGCTTTGGGCTTTGCCATAGCGATAGACTGTTAATCTTGTCAGAATGCAAGCAGTTGTTTGCCCAGTGTAACTTGGAAAATGAATATTTTGTTATTTTATAACGGGTGGGAGGCATATCAATGGAAGACTTGGGTCATTCAGCGATTGCAGCCGCTTCCCTCTGGGGATCTCACATGGTGTCTCTCTTTGGCGTTTCAGAATAGCTGCTGGAAAGCTGCCCCGCCGTAGCCGCTGACGCTATGGAAGACCGCATCCGCTGCTCTCGGCTGTAGGATGGTAGCGCACAGCAAGGTGTCAGCAGATAATGCAGTTGGAGCAGACCCAAGACGGCTACTTGACCCTCCGGCACGGGATCGTTCTCAGGCGCGAGGTTTGCACGGCCCCGGCACTGTGCAGGCACAGGGCAACACGCACTTCCGAACCTTCCGCTCCCAGGCGGATTTCAGCAGCATCACCCGAGCCAGCAGCCTCCTGGATGCCTGCGGCTTCTACTGGGGACCCCTGTCTGTCAGCGCGGCCCACGAGAAGCTTAAGTCTGAGCCCGAGGGCACCTTCCTCATCAGGGACAGCACACAAAAGAATTGCTTCTTTGCCATCAGTGTTAAGACTGCGTCTGGGCCCACCAGCATCCGGATTAACTTCCAGACCGGTCGTTTCAGCCTGGATGGCAGCAAAGAGACTTTTGACTGCCTTTTTAAGCTGCTGGAACATTACCTGAGTTCCCCGAGGAAGGTACTGGTTACCCCCCTGCGCAAGGTCCGGGTGCAGCCGCTGCAGGAGCTCTGCCGGAAGAGCATCGTGAAGACTTTTGGAGGAGAGAACTTAAACCAGATCCCCCTCAATCCCGTTTTAAAGGACTATCTGAAATCCTTTCCATTTCAGATATAAGTACAGCATTAACTGCGTAGGGACACGTGAGAAATGTGTAACGAAATCCAGTGTCCTGGGTTTTTAAATATGTTTGACAGTGAGCAAACTTATTTTTGTAGCAATTTACTGTATTTTGGGATGGAACCTGAACACTTGACTTCTTATGTTTACAAAAACTGTTTGCACAAACCTGGGGTTTTAAAACCCTGGCATAATTTTTCTGCCAAGCAGAAGGTTTTATTATTTTATAATATTTTTAATGATATTAACATAATAAACTTTATTGTGACGGTTTTTAAAAAAAACATAGCATCTCTGTTTTCAGTTTTAAAGGCTCTCATACCTATCCTGCTGACAAACTTTAACTGCTTACCTCTGTAACTGCAGACAGGTCTCCACGTGGTCCTGCTCTTTGCCCTACTGAAGTAGTCTGTCTTAGTCCAGCAAGCAGAGGATTCCTGCCCTCAAAAGCCTACAATAGAAAGATGCAAGCAAGTAGAAAATGCACTCAGGATGAATCTGCCCTGGAATCTAACGGTCTTCTAAATTCATGGGAGCAGGAACAATGTGTTCTATAGTGATGCATAGTTTTTGATAGAGTGAATCAAACCCTTGGCTGAGCAAATTGCACCAACTCTGCTTTACCTTGTTTCTGTTAAAAGATACAAGGCCCTGAGCAAGAAGAGGTTGCTGCCTGATGTAACCAAACCCCATGAATCTCGGAGGGGGAAAATGAGGCTGTCCAGAAATGCTGTTCACACAATTTAAAAGTCTGTGAACACTTCATCATTATGGTGCATTGGGGAAAGGATAGCTTAGTTCTCTTTGAAAATTAACACACACAAAATTACAAGAGTGCAGACATTCCCTAGACCTAAAAAAGATTTTTCCTGTCTTAAACTCCTGGTGATCTACAGTGCACAGATTTGATACTTAAAAGAACCTATGGCTTGGGTCCATGACAGGATCCAGAGAGCATAAGTCTCTACATTTTCAGCTATCATTTCTAGTGGCTAAACTGCATTCAGAGAAAGTTAAAACTTAGTTTTGTTTCTCTCTGCTCATAAAATGCAAAAAGAGTGCCCCACAGAGCTGCAACTGAATGACTTGAGATGCCTGATTTGGTAAAATGTCACCTGCATTATGGGAAAGTGATTCTCCCCTCCCCCAAGCATTTCCTGAAATCCATGAAAAGCTGACTTAGAAAACCAGCTGAACCAAATCACTTCAAAGAAGGCACAGAGTCTTTCACAGAAACTCTATCAGCACAGATCTACAGGGCTTACAGGAACTGTAAGCAGTAAATGAAGTAATCTTCAGAGTTTGGGAGATAAAAGGTCTCTCCCCCTACTGTAATTCACATTCCTTTTAAAGATAAAGCCACTTTTAGGAAACATTGAGTATATATTCTCTGGTGATCCTTACTGAATCATTTGTTTACTGTTTACCCAATCGGCTCTTAAGTGGTTGATGTTTCTTTGGAATGAATAGGTTTCCTCCTAAATATGACTAAGGATCACTCTGCATTAGACATTGTGAAAAAAGGGAAAAAGAGAGAACCCACAGGCAGTATCATGTGACTTGCAGCATTTCTGCTTAATTCTGAAGCTGGAATCAGTTACCAAATGATTTTCCCACAGGAGCTGCAAGGATATAAATTCAGGAAGAAGTGAATGCTGTGCTATGAAGCAGAGAGGAGAGCAGAGCAAAGCCACTACCTGAATGTGAATAGCATTAAGAAGTTAAATTGGAAAAAAAAACCCTCTATAGGGTGAAGGCTGCCAGACTGGTTTGCTATCAGCAGAGATTGTTATCCCTTTCCCATATTCTTCTCCCAGCTCCACACTTTTAACCTCTTAACCCTTCAGGCCCCAAACTGCCTTGCTATATAAATGAGCATCCACAAGACTGGTAGAACAAGCACAATGTAGCTTAGTAGGTTTTCTGCTACCTCTGGTAAAACCAAAAAAACTAGACCTAGACATACAGTAAGGGACTTCCCACTGAGAGGCATGGAATGAAAAGCATATTAAGGATTGAGATCATTTAATTTTCTTCCTGGCAGAACCAAACCCATTTTCTTTTTCTCTCCCTTTTATTGCTTTAGAGTAAGTTTAGGAAAAATGATCCATATCCTCCCACATATGGTGCCTAAATACCTTCATTTTGTCTTTAATAAGAAATGCGAATATGGGATAATTCAGAAAAAAATACAATCAAAACTATAAATAAGGACAAGAAGGTCAGATTTGTCTGAAATGTCTCTTAAGTAAAGAGGAGACAAAACTGACTTGAATTTTTAGATTACTTTATCTTTTTACCTGCCTTATTTTTCTTCCCCTTCCTTTCCTTCTCTCTTTCTCTCTCTCTCCTCAGTGTACAATACAGTGGCCAGGCAGGTCCTCTTTCTAGTAGGCAAATGTAGATTGCTCCAAAGCAAACACACCACAGTGTGTGTTAACTTTGTCACTGTGACCTGCCCTCTGTAAGAGCAAATGAAGGGCTCTCTAAAATGTCTGCTTACCTGTGTACACTGATTGAAGGGCAGTGCCACATCTAAGGGGCACAGCAGTAATCTGAAGATATCTGTAGTAATGTCAGCTGTTAAATCTCATCCTCAGTTTTAATAGAGTACCAGCAAGGTCAAGTAGGGAATTTGCAGCACTCTGCACCTAAAGCAATGGAAACAAAAACAGTGCAGTCATTTGAATCCTTTCTGCTAAATAGTACCTTAAGAGTGGTTATTCCAGACTCTCCCCCTCTTGTCCAGCTCTTTCCTCTGACCTTTTGACTGTGGCTGAAAAGTGAAGTAAACAGTCAATCTGTTAAATGACTATGGAAGAATTTGAGCCAGGAGCACAGCAAAGCCACGTTTTTGAAGAAACTGCAACACTTATAGTTAGCGGGGAAGGGACAGCTTTGAAATGATCCCATTTGCAGCATGACTCTGTCATCTGTCCCACAGAGCATCAGGGTGGGCATTGAGCAGGAGGGTCCTGCTGGGACATCCCCACCCTGATCCAGTGGGACTCAACAGGCAGCCGGGCTGAGGCTTCCTCGCCTTTTAGACTGAAACACACGTTTACTTCCAGAGTAGGCTCATTAACACACAGTGCAGCAGCTGCAAAACACTTGCAAACGAGCAGCGCCAGTTAATAGAACTGCAGATTTTCAAAGAAGCTGGTTATTTAAGCCCTGAAGAGTTACTGAATGCTCAGTAGGAGGAGCTTCTTGAACGACGAGTGCAGCCGTCCCCGCTGTGAAGCTGTGGTCACACTAATTCTGTTATGATTGAAGTCATTTACAAGAAGTGAGGCTTCAGCTGCAGTCAGCACTGATGCTATTTTCAACAGTCAAGAAAAAAAAGTGTCCCCTAGGGCAACATGCTGCCCGTATCTAGCCATCAATACTCTTCACCCAGCTTGTACTTAATCCTCTATTGAACATCTGAACAGCGTATCCACCTCCCGAACCTTCTCCTTCAGATCCAGGATTAGCCCTTTGTGTCCTGCTGGGCTGTCATTCAGTCCCTGGCTCTCCCTCCACCCCTCCATTCACGGTGCCAGCAGCTGTGTAAGCAATGCATTTATTCACTAACTCCACTAATTTGAGACAAAGGCGACTTAACAGGGACTTAATTCAGACTCTGCATTGCTTTCTGTGCAAAGTGTAAGGTAACAACTGTCTTTGCCATAAATTTTCAGGAGGTTTCTCCCAATTGCCACAAAGTGCCATTCAAAACTTCATCGCCACTGACTTCTTTGTTGTCACACTTCTGCATAATACTCAGATCCTGTCCCTGTATCTGAATTTTTCTCCACAGCTGTTTTCCAGTACAGCAGCCAGATCTGTTACACCCGAGTCCAATTTTCTCTTTGTGACCCCATGGAATAATAAAAATATGGGCCAGCAGGAAGTGTAAAGAGAAGCCCAAGTTCTCCCACACATCCCAGCGTGAAACCACTACTCAAGTAGGGCAAAGCAGCAAAGGCCAAAGAGTCAGAATATCACCTCCTGGCTGACAGATGAGTGAGTTAGCCATGTGCCAGAAGTATTTCCCCTCTGTTGGCAGCTCAGTGACATGCTTTGGACATGGCTGTTGGAGAAAACACAAATGACAGAGATGATGTTTGTGCATAGCAAAGCAATTACTCTGTAGTCTTCAGCTGTGAGAAGGGCAGATGCACTGGGAGGATGGAATAGCAGCCAAAGAGAAGAAAGCAAATAGCCATCTATGCCATAAGCCCCATTTGCTCAGCTTCCTTCATTCTGTTCCTCTTCATAATATTAGCAAGGTAAAGTAGGATCACCTTTCTGTTGTCATTTTAATCTCAGTTACTTTTATCTCAGTTATTCTTTGTAGCTAGCTGTCAGCCACGTGGAAGAACGATAAATCCAGTCATCACTCTTTAATTAAAGAGTTCTGTCTCCTTCTGTGAATCACTACTGCCTGGCCTGCTTCTGCTTGTGAGCACAAAGGTTCATCTTCACTATCAGAGAGCTTCGGTTTGGTTTTTTTTTTTGTTCTGTGCTGCTAACTGAAATAAAGCAACTGTCAAGATTTGCTCTTTTTTTTTTTTTTTTTCTGAATAAGAGCCACTGGCCCCTGTGCTGTGCTTGTAGGTGTGCATAATCCCTCCAGACATGGCTGTGGAAGTAAAGTTCTGACTGAGTGGTAAAAAAAGAGGAACTTTGTTTATATGGTTATTATGTTTTTAATCAGAGGCTTTTAACATATTTATCTACGGCCAAACACTTATCACTTGGTCCATAGAAATACTTATTAAATGCCTCTTTCTTCTGATGTAATTAATTATTTTAATTCTATTTTTGTTATAGGAAAGGGTTATTTGGTTTAATCCTTATAGTATCTTTTTTACACATGATTCTGAATTCCACAGCCTGTAGTTGTCTATACTGATTGAAGGACACAGATACAGAGGATGCTGTGGACTTATTATTTCTCTTGGTAGATCTGCTTTGGTCGTAACATTTACACATATTGTGGGGAAAACAAAATATTTACCCTATTCAATTGCAGGTTTATCATACCAGAACATACAAACACCTGTAGTGAAATCTTAGTTCCATTGAAATCAATTTCCAGGGAAGATCAACCTTTTTACAGACAGTGTTATTAAATAACAATAAATATCTTTTAAAAATTAAATGTAGGACCTATGGTTGTATCACAAAGATTTCTTGCTTGATAGAGCCCCAGCTAACTCACAGGTTGATGGGGTTCAGTTTTGATGCTGAAAATGTGTACACAAGGTTGTGTGGAATTTCCTACCCCCATTCCC